GTTAGTCAAAGTTCAGCAGCAATATGAATTATTCTTATCAAATGAATTAGAAAAGAAAATTATGTACAATAGGCATAATTTTTTTGAAAATGCAAATAAACCGGGTAGGCTCCTGGCTTGGCAAGTGAAAGATCATAGGAAGAGACCACTAATTGCCAAAATAAGGCACAAAGGAGAGACAATTACGAACATAAGAAAAATTCAAAAGGCTTTTGAAGATTATTATAGAAATCTCTACAAAAATAATCCAATAGATATCAAAAAAAAAATATACCAATACCTAGCGGACATAAAGGTCACCAAGTTCACAGAAGATATGAAACTAGATCTGGATAGACAAATAACACGGGAAGAACTGAATACGGCCATAGATAAAGCTAAATTAAATAAAGCCCCAGGTCTAGACGGATTCTCCGCTCTGTTTTATAAGGAATATAAAGAAGAATTAGGTCCGTTATTGCTATCTACAATGAATCAAGTACTCCAAAAAGGAGAGATGCCAGGGTCCTGGGAGGAAGCTACAATAGTTCTCTTACCTAAACAGGACAGAGACTTGGAGCAAATAAAGAACTATAGACCAATTTCATTGGTTAATAACGATTATAAATTATTTGCGGAAATCTTAGCAAACAGGTTGAAACAAATTCTAGCTAAAATAATACATGGGGATCAAGCAGGCTTTCTTCCAGGCAGACATCTAAGTCAAAATGTGAGAACGGTGATAGATATATTAGAGTATGCTGAACAAGACCCAAGCAGAGAGATTGCATTATTATTCTTAGATGCGGAGAAAGCATTTGACAACGTGCAATGGGACTACTTGATTAAAGTATTGGACCATTTTGGAGTGGGTCCGTACTTCAGAAAGGCCACAGGAGCCATTTACTCAAAACAAAGGGCTAAACTAAAAATAAATGACCAAATGTCAAGCTATATAGAAATTCAAAAAGGAACAAGACAAGGCTGTCCCCTATCACCGCTATTGTTTATTTGGATATTAGAAATCTTGAACGGAAGAATTAGAGAGGCAAGTGAAATCAAAGGAGTTAAGGTAAAAGGGCATGAATTTAAAGGGAAAGCATATGCAGATGACGTGGTTTGTTTTTTAACGGACCCATTAAGAAGCACGCATACCTTATTGGAGATTATTAATGAATTTAGCACTGTGTCAGGTTTTAAAATTATTAAAGAGAAATCAGTATTTCTAACTAAAAACTTACCTACAAGAAATATTGCTAAATTGGAGAAACTAACTAATTGTAAGGTAGTGCCAAAAGTAAAATATCTTGGAATATGGCTCCCCAACAAAAATAGTAAACTTTACCAAAATAATTACGACAAAACGTGGAAGGAGATCAAAAGAGACCTCGTGAACTGGCAAAGACTTCAACTTACCTGGTTAGGGAGGGTAGCGGTTATAAAAATGATGGTATTACCTAAAATGTTGTTTTTGTTTCAGAACTTACCGATTATCAAGGGAGTAAAGGTTTTCAAAAAATGGAAGAGAGATTTGGTCAATTTCATTTGGAAAGGCAAAAAACCAGAATTGCTTATAGGAACCTTATTGATGGGAAAGACAGAGGGGGCTTGGCTCTGCCAGACCTCAGATACTATTATGAAGCAGCCAACTTTAGTTGGCTAAAGGATTGGATCAGACTGGAAAATAAGGAACTGCTTAACTTAGAAGGACATAATCTAAGATATGGATGGCATGCCTATCTATGGGATGAAAAGGACAGGGTGAATAAAGAATTCAATAGACATATAATAAGAGCCAGCCTTTTGGCAACGTGGAAAAGGTACAAGAAGGGGATAGAACCCAAAATCCCCTTATGGCTGCGTCCACTGGAAGCTGTGCAGAGACTGGCCACACATTCTGAATCTAGAACTTATGAAGAATATTTAGTTAAAGAGAAAGGGCAATGGACACTTAAAGGTAGAGAAGAATTGGGGATAAAAGATTGGTTTTGCTTCTTTCAATTGCATGATAGATTTAGGAAGGACGTAAAGGTAGGAATTGCCTCTAAAAAGTCAGAGCTAGAACTTATTTTTGAGAAGGGCAACAAAGGCCTCATATCCAGGCTCTATAAATTTATCTTAGATTACAACTTAATAGATAATCAGATAAAACCTGTTATGATTACGTGGTCCAAAGATTTAGGCAGAAATATTGATTTGGAAGAATGGGAACATTTGTGGAAAAAGGGGTTTAAATTTTCAGTGGCCAGCTCAATTAGAGAAAATATGTTTAAAATGTTTTATAGAACCTACATAACTCCAGAATTATTGGCTAAAATAGAGAAAACAGGACAAGGAACTTGCTGGAGATGTAAGAAGGCGAAGGGCTCATTTTTCCATGTATGGTGGAGGTGTAATATAGTTAAAGAATTTTGGGAAAAAGTGGTGAAGGAAACAAACAATATGATTAACAAAAAAGTTAAGAAAAACCCAGAAATGTGCCTTTTAGGATTATTTAGAACATGTATCAGTGCAGGAGATGAAGAAATTTGTCAATATTGCTTTGTTGCGGCAAGACTAATAATAGCCAAAACTTGGAAAGGGGAAAAAGAGTTATCTATTAATGATTGGAGAGATAAGTTAGCAGACTATATCCAAATGGCCAAGCTGACAAATAGCAGCAGAGGAGGAGATAATGAAGAATTTGCAAATAAATGGAGGCTGGCACTTGGGTATTTGGAAAAGAAGACAAAGGTAAACTTGAAGATTGCCATAAAGGGGATTCAGTGAAAGAAGATATTTGGGTAGTTGTTGTTTTGGAATGCGATCCTGTTTTGAGGGGTGTCGGAGGTCAGGGGGTGGGGTTCACGGGTGGGGGATAGAGGGTTAGGTAAGGTTAAGGTATAAATAATTGTACAACCAAATCTGATTGTACATATGTTTGATGAGCGCTGAATGTTGACTCTTTTGTAATTTTTTTTTGCATATGTTTTCTTTGTTTACTTTTTTCCTTTTGTTGGTTTGTTTTGTTTTCTGCATACACTATAAAACAATAAAAATTATTTTAAAAAAAACAAAGGTAAATTTCCAATGATGGATAAAAGTCAAAGGAAGGATAGTGATGTTTATCTAGCTCTATTTTAATGATGCAAACAATTTTCCTATCCCTTCCGAGGCCACCAATTCCATTCCTTTTTGAAGCTATGGTTATGATTTCATGGAGCTGCATAGGAATTTATCCAAATTTGTATTTTGAATTAGTGTGGTTTGCTGAAACCATATTAAGCAATTTATCATGTTAGAACAGTTTAAAACATGCATAAATTACTTTCTCAGCTTTGATATAATCCTTCAGAAGTCTGTTTTTCCAAGGGAATGAAACTATTTCCCAATACAAGCAGTCACCAGGTTAGAAACAAGATAGGTTCTCTGGGTTTATTCTAAAGTTGAATTTGAAGCCTGAGGGCTGAGAAGGGCGGTATACAAATACAGTAAATAAATATACAAATACAGTAAATAAATATACAAATACAGTAAATAAACATTAACATTTTGTAACTGTAACTCCACACACACACACACACACACACACACACACGTGTGTGGCTGAGCAATTGATGAAAAAAATGTTTCAAACTCATTATAAAATTAGGATGTGTGGGCATTTCATTTCTAAAGTGTTTCTTAAGTATCATTAGTGAACACTTCGTTACTGTAATGAGAGTAATTAAATTTTGTTACTTTTTTGTTAAAATAATTGTGCAAGTGAGGAAACTTCAAGGACTCCTTTCCCCCTCATTTGTACAGCTATTGGGATGAAACCTGCTACACATTTACCACTGTTAGCCCATCAAGTTTCAGAATGTTTCACTTATCCATTGAATTTTGGGGAATTCAGATGTTTGTAACTCAGGGACTATCTGCATTTGGGGAAAAGAGTGGTGATAATGAATGATGATAACTCCCTTCCTCAGGAGGCCCCTATTTTATTTCTGTCAGCAGTAAAGAACATTTCATTTTTAGCATGTTGCAATGGATGGAGCTTTGGAGTATATGTGTGCGTGTGTGTGATGTTTTTATTTGATGATGCTTTAAAATATTTTGAGTACTGTTTTTACCTTGTGTTTTTTAAATCAAAGTTGAATTTAATTTTGTTTTAACTTTTTATTGAGATTTTTTATATTGTGTTTTCAAATCAAGTATGCTGAATTCCATGATGGGAGAAAGGCAGGATATAAATTACATAATGTTTTGAGGGTGGCCTCTTTACTGTTGAATTGAGCCAGTTTGACACCATTTTAACAGCGTGACTCAGTGCTATGGAATTCTTGGATTTGTAGTTTCATGTAGTCTTTAACCTTTTCTGCCAAATAATGCTGGTGCCTCACCAAGTTACAAATCCCAGGATTCTATAGCCTTGAGCTCTGACCGTTAAAGCGACGTCAAACCCCATTAATTCTACAGTGTAGTTGCACCTGAAAAAGTGTCTTTCGGTTTATGTGCCAAGTTGTTTAAATAATTCGTTTTCACTTCAAAAATGCTCTGAGACAGGGTTGCCAGGATGAAAGGCGGAAAAAACTTATGTACCTTTAATGATTGTTGAGCAGAAAAAGAAGTTTCTGCAGGTGCTTCCTATTGCACAATGAGGCCACAAGCAACACCTGTGGACATGGTCTCTTTTGCACAACCATCAAAGGAACAGAAGACCCTTTTCACTCCAGGAAACTTATTTTGATGCATATTCATTCAAAATATCAACTGTAAAATCAAGCCAATTTTTATTTCAGAGAAAAGACCAGGAATATCTTATTTTCTCAAGAGAACTCTCACAAGTAGGCTTTGAACACTCTCATGGTAGAAATACTTATTTAATAAAGCAGTGTTTCAAACAATTATAAGGAGGATATCTTATTGTCACCAGAATGTAATTGATTTTAGGAGATGTGTGTGTTTTTGAGATCCCATTTCCTGTACCAGTTCTTCTCTCAGCTCTTTCTGCTTTTCTTTGGTTTCCTTCATCTTTTTCTCTTTGTCTCCAACAGCAAATGTCATTCTGGATCCAGACACATCAGGTTCCCATCTCATCCTGTCTGAGGATCGTAAAAGTGTGGGATTTGGAAACAAACGTGAAGACCTGCCTGACAATCCTGAGAGATTCAGTGACCGAACTTTCGTGCTGGGATGTGAAGGATTCACAAGAGGCAGGCATTTCTGGGAAGTTGCTGTGGGAACAGAAGGGACATGGTCTATGGGGGTGGCCAGGAGGTCTGTCAGGAGAAAAGGCATTGTTAATATTCGTTCTTCGGAAGGGATCTGGACTGTGGACAAGCGGAAAGGTATCTACCCTGTTACCAGTCACCTTTCTAGCTCTCCTCTGTCCCTGAGTGAAAAGACCAAGAAGGTCCGAGTCTATCTGAACTGTGCTGCAAACCGGATGGCTTTTTACGATGCTGATACGGGAGACCAGATCCAAGTATTCTCGGATGTCTCATTTATCGGAGAGACTGTTCTCCCGTTCTTTTACCTGGGTATTGATAGCCACTTAAAAATCTCACCTTAAAACAGCTAAACCCATCCATCAGGTTTTGTTCTTTAAACTGTCAGAGTTCTCAGTTCATTTATTGCAGATCATCCCCAATATTCTTCTTGTACACCTGGCTTTCACTTTCATAGAAAATTGTCTTAACTTTAACACATATCTCTCAGTTAAATGATCTCTAATGTATGGGGCCAGAGGTTTAACACAACTGGCAAATCACCAGCAACTATCAGATCTGTCAACCAAAAGGTTGCAAGTTCAAAGCCCCAGGTCGGCATAAGCTGCTGACTGTCAGCCCAAATTACTGTTGACCTAAGTAGTTCTAAAACAGCTTTAGCTGTAATTAGAGAAATTAGGTACCACAAAAAGTGGGGGAGGTGTTTGACAATGCCATAAAGAAAGAAAATCAGAAAATGCTGGGTAACCAAAAGGAAGGAGGAAGTCCTGATGGCTCTTTGTCATAGAGGATGGAGCAACAGCACCCCCTGTGGCTGGACTTGAGCCCAACCTTCCACAGCACCAAACAACACAACTCATTTCTGTTCTGTCTGTCTGTCTGTGTATTGTCGATACAAAGCAGTATTGAATGTCTGGCATGTATCTGTACTGTGTTCTGCCCTGAGTCCCCTACGGGGTGAGAAGGATGGAATATAAATAAAGTGTTGTTGTTGTTGTCATTTCACATTGGCTTTTTCTGTCTGTTTGAGCAGGGCTTGAAGAGTTAAACATTTTTTTCCTTTGTAGATTTTTTTTATTTTCCCTCAGTGTGAAGATGTTTAATTCACATTTGTATACACAGACTTTTAAAATGTTCATTAATATTCCCAGTTTTTGTTACAGTTTGCCTTGTGGCGAGAACATCTAATCTGACTCAATTATCCAGGGTGCTCTCTTGTGGCAATATTGCCCATTATATATAACCCTCTGCCCATTATAATGCCAATTTGTCTCTGTGCCCATTAAAATGAATGCCTTTTGTACCATGGTTCCCTCTTATAGCAGGAAATAATTGGATAGAAAGGGATTCCCTGAGGCCATCTAGTCTGACCTTCTTTTGGCAATAGTGCAGCACTGCATCACCTGAACTGGATTCCCATTAAAATGCCTGCTTTTTGTACCATTCATAGAATCATAGAATCATAGAATCAAAGAGTTGGAAGAGACCTCATGGGCCATCCAGTCCAACCCCCTGCCAAGAAACAGAAATATTGCATTCAAATCACCCCTGACAGATGGCCATCCAGCCTCTGCTTAAAAGCTTCCAAAGAAGGAGCCTCCACCACACTCCGGGCAGAGAGTTCCACTGCTGAATGGCTCTCACAGTCAGGAAGTTCTTCCTAATGTTCAGATGGAATCTCCTCTCTTGTAGTTTGAAGCCATTGTTCCGCGTCCTAGTCTCCAAGGAAGCAGAAAACAAGCTTGCTCCCTCCTCCCTGTGGCTTCCTCTCACATATTTATTAGGGCTGGGCGGTTTTGTTTCGTAATTTCATAATTCGTTAAAAATTCGTTATTTTTTTTATAACGAAGAGATAACGAACCATTCAGGAGCAACTAAAAAACGAAATGAATTTTTAAATTCGTTTCGTAATTGTTTCGGATTCGTTTTGTATTCGTTTCGTTATCGTTTTGAAATCGTTTCATTATTATTTCCGCATGTCTGGGGCAAGTTTTATAGTTGTTGTTTGTTTAATCAGTGAAAAAATTATAAATATCACACCAACAGTCAACAACAGAGGGAGAGGGAAGCTTCAGAAGTTCCCCCTGTCCCATTTGGAGGTTTTTTAGCGTATTGCGCGGTCGCGTCCGCCATTAACGAATCGATTTGTAATTGTTTCGTATTGTTTTGTAATTTTACGAAATTTCGTAAATATCAAACTTTTTAAAAGAAAAATTTCGGAATTCTTTTAAAAATCAAAACGCAAAACCCCCCAAAAAACGAATCGATTTTAGAAACAAATTTTTCCGTGGTTGCGAGCCCTAATATTTATACATGGCTATCATATCTCCTCTCAGCCTTCTCTTCTTCAGGCTAAACATGCCCAGTTCCCTAAGCCGCTCCTCATAGGGCTTGTTCTCCAGACCCTTGATCATTTTAGTCGCCCTCCTCTGGACACATTCCAGCCTGTCAATATCTCTCTTGAATTGTGGTGCCCAGAATTGGACACAATATTCCAGATGTGGTCTAACCAAAGCAGAATAGAGGGGTAGCATTACTTCCTTAGATCTAGACACTATCCTCCTATTGATGCAGGCCAAAATCCCATTGGCTTTTTTTGCCGCCACATCACATTGTTGGCTCATGTTTAACTTGTTGTCCACAAGGACTCCAAGATCTTTTTCACACGTACTGCTCTCGAGCCAGGCATTGTCCCCCATTCTGTATCTTTGCATTTCATTTTTTCTGCCTAAGTGGAGTATCTTGCATTTGTCACTGTTGAACTTCATTTTGTTAGTTTTGGCCCATCTCTCTAATCTGTCAAGATCGTTTTGAATTCTGCTCCTGTCCTCTGGACTATTGGCTATCCCTCCCAATTTGGTGTCGTCTGCAAACTTGATGATCATGCCTTCTAGTCCTTCATCTAAGTCATTAATAAAGATGTTGAACAGGACCGGGCCCAGGACGGAACCCTGCGGCACTCCACTTGTCACTTCTTTCCAAGATGAAGAGGAAGCATTAGTGAGCACTCTCTGTGTTCGTCCACTTAACCAATTACAGATCCACCTCACCGTAGTTTTGCCTAGCCCACATTGGACTAGTTTCCATGATGATGATGTCCCACTGTGGCCAAATTGGAAATATGACATTTCCTTTGTGATGTTTGTGATCCGTTCCTGGTTAATTTTGGACTAGTTTCCTGGCCAGAAGGTCATGGGGGACCTTGTCGAAGGCCTTACTGAAATCCAGGTACGCTACATCCACGGCATTCCCCGCATCTACCCAGCTTGTAGCTCTATCGAAGAAAGAGATCAGATTAGTCTGGCATGACTTCTTTTTGATAAATCCATGTTGACTATTAGCGATGACTGCATTTGTTTCTAAGTGTTTGCAGACCGCTTCCTTAACAATCTTTTCCAGAATCTTGCCCGGTATCGACGTGAGGCTGACCGGACGGTAGTTGTTTGGGTCATCCTTTTTTCCCTTCTTGAAGATTGGGACCACATTGGCCCTCCTCCAATCTGCTGGAACTTCTCCCGTTCGCCAAGAACTCTCAAAGATGGTTGCCAATGGTTCCGAAATGACTTCCGCTAGTTCCTTCAATACTCTGGGGTGTAGTTGATCTGGCCCTGGGGACTTGAACTCATTAAGAGCGGCCAGGTATTCCTGGACGACTTCTTTCCCAATTTGGGGTTGGATGTCCTCCAATCCCTCATCCACCCCATCTTGCTGAGGTTGAAGACTCTCTTTTTGTGAGAAGACCGAGGCAAAGAAGGCATTAAGTAGTTCTGCCTTTTCCCTATCCCCTGTCAGCATTGCCCCATCTTCTCCGCGAAGAGGTCCTATCGCCTCCTTGTTTTTCCTTTTTCTACTGACATAAGAATAGAAGCCCTTTTTATTGTTTTTAATGTCCCTGGCAAGTCTGAGCTCGTTTTTTGCTTTAGCCTTGCGGACCTTTTCCCTACAGGTGTTGGCTATTTGTTTGAATTCTTCTTTGGTGATTTCTCCCTTTTTCCACTTCTTGTGCATGTCTCTTTTGTGTCTTAGCACAGTTAGCAGTTCTTTGGACATCCATTCTGGCTTCTTTGCACTTGTCCTATTTTTTCTCTTTGTTGGCACGATTTGCAATTGCGCCTTGAGTATTTCACTCTTGAGAAATTCCCATCCATCCGTAACTCCCTTGTCTTTTAGTAGCTGTGTCCACGGAATGCTGCTCAGCGTTTCCTTCATTTTTTGGAAATCAGCTCTCCTAAAGTCCAAAATGCGGGTTTGACTTGTCTTAGTTTCGGCCTTCCTTTGTACCTCAAATTGCAGGAGCACATGGTCACTTGCCCCTAAGGATCCTACCACTTCGACCGCATCGATCAGGTCCTCCGCATTTGTTAGGATGAGATCAAGAGTAGCCAATCCCCTTGTTGCCTCTTCTACCTTCTGGACCATGAAATTGTCTGCAAGGCAAGTGAGGAATTTGTTGGACCTTGTACTCTTGGCCGAGTTTGTTTTCCAGCAAATATCGGGATAGTTGAAATCGCCCATGACTACTACATCTCTTCTCTGTGCCTGTTTTGTCAACTGTTGGCAGAAGACTTCATCAAGTTCTTCCTCCTGGCTTGGGGGTCTGTAGTAGACGCCTACAACGACATCTTTTTGAGTCCCAGTTCCCTTGATTCTTATCCAGATGATTTCAAGCTGGTTTCCCAGATTGCTGTCTTGAATCTCTTCTGCAGCATAAGAGTTTTTGACATATAAGGCTACTCCGCCTCCTCTCCCCTTTGTTCGGTTTCTGTGAAAGAGGTTATACCCCTCGATATCTACATTCCAGCGATAGGAGTCATCCCACCAGGTTTCAGTGATCCCTATGATATCATATTTGTGGTGTTGTGCTAAAAGTTGGAGTTCGTCTTGTTTATTTCCCATGCTCTGTGCATTAGTGTAAAGACATGTGAGCCCCTGAGATCTTCCCTTGAGCTGTTTAATTGGGATTATTGTGCTTTTGGTACTTGGTCCTTGTTGTGTTTGTGCAGCCTTCCGTTTAGTTTGTGCAGCCACCTTCTTGTGGCTATATTTCAGCACCTTAGCTCTGTAACTACTTTTCATACCAAAGTGCCTGTTTTCTTGATATTGCAGCCTTTACGTCTATGCTCATATCAGGGTGACCTCTAATAGCAGGGGATAGAAATGTAGGGGGGAATCCCTTGAGATCATCTAGTCTAACCACATGAACCAGAGTGCCCTCCTGATGTGACATTACAGCACTGTAGTACCTTACCTGTATTCCTTTCCAAATGCCCAGTATTATAGCACAGTGCCCTCTAGTGTTGACAATGTAGCACTGCTCTGCCTTCTGCTCATAAAAATGCATTTTTCCCCTGTTTGTATATTAAAATTTACAGCTTTAAAAGCAGAGTGCAGTCTTGTGCAGGGAATAGAACTGTACAGATGAATCCCAAGGCCATCCAATCTGACCATCATAAACCCGGGTGCCATTTTGTGGCATTATTACAGCATTGTAGCTACTGAGCTGTGTCTCCTCATGGGCCATCCAACCCCCTGCCAAGAAGCAGGAAAATCACATTCAAAACAACCCCGACAGATGGCCATCCAGCT